AAGGTCGTGGGGGAATGCCGTTCGGGCGGCATTCCGGAAAATGAGGTCTGTACTCTCCTCGCGTCGACTTCTTTTCATCCACTGGTAACTGCTTTTGTTTCTGTGATTTCCGCGGTGGCAGTGCCAAGGGTCTTGTTGTTGTGAGCGAGCGCTGTGTAATAAAACGGCTGGTTTGTTTACGTTAGCCTAGGACGTGTCCGAAAACCGCCACGATCGTTGAGGTAAACGCATTTCGATCTCTAACGCACACGCGCGCAGTTCTCCACGACTTGTGTACGATGATTTGTCTCCTTCCGTCTTTCTCTCGACAACGAAGCAAACCAAGACCCAATCCTCCGCAAACCTCACCCATAACTTTCTCAACCATAGCGTTTGACTGATCTGCATACGTCCATCTGGTCTTCGTGAGCAAAAACACGTGCCAGAAACAAAAATAATGTCTCCAACGCCCCCAAAATTTCCCTGAAACTTTCCCCTCTCATCGCCCAGTCGTTTGGACCAAACACGCCCTCTTACTGTCCCGTCCAACTTTGGACCAAAACATGCCCTCTTAATTGTCCCGCCGGACTTTGGAACAAACACGCCCGCTTATTGTGCCGTCTGCCTTTGGAACAAACAGAAACCCGCCATTGGAGCCCGTCACCGGCGGCGGCAACGAATCGGTCAACACCGACGGAGATTCCGACTACTATGATGACGATGGCACTGAGAGCATAGATAAGAATGAGCGGCAACGGGATCGGGACGGGTACTGCTCGGATGGCGATGACGGCGGTGGTGCTAGCGGGAAAGGTCCCGGGAAAAGGAAGCGCGCCCCGCAAGGGGGTGCGCATTCTACTGTTCAGGTACCCTCTCCATGTTGGTCGCTGGCTTTCCCTCGTGCCGTTCGCGTTCGCGGCGTCATCATCACGACCGTTTTGCCACCAATACTGCTGTCTTGCGGGACGGTTTTATAACCAGTACTGCTGGGACGGTTTGGCCAGAAGTACTGCTGTCTTGCGGGACGGGCTTACAACAAAATATTGCTGGGACGGTTTAGCCACCAATACTGCTGTCTTGCGGCACAGCAGTTTTACCGATACTAGTGTCTTGTGGGGTCACCCTGGGTTCCAAAACGTGTGGTCGTTCGAGTCTTTTCTGGGATGGTTGTGGTCGGTCGGTCGGTCGGGGTGAGTCGACAAGGGTTAAGGTTACGGCATCATCGCCACCAACGCAACAACAGCAGCAGCAGCAGCAGCAGCAGCAGCAGCGACGACGACGACGACGACGGCCACCACCGCGAAGACAAGAGAAGCAGCAGCAAAAGCAACAACAACAACAACAACAACCGCGACGACAACACCAGCAACAGAAACTTGAACAGCCAACCACCACCGAATCATTTATCCCTGACATGTGTGTGTGTGTGTTCGTTTTCTTTGCCAGGATATCCTGCCAACGAGGAGCGCGTCGAAGACCACCGGGGTGCCGAGGAGGAAGGACGTCGCAAACGGGGTCCTCGCAGATAGAGAAGGAGTAGGGGGTGCGGTGTTGCGAGCGGCGGCAGGGGGGGCGGTTTCAGACGACGGACGCGGCGGTGGTGGAACCTCAATCACGGTACGGAAACGATTTTTTTTTTCTTGTTTCGGCTGCCGGGCTAGTTTGTTCGTGTCTCTCTGACGGATGGGGTTGGATACGGTACTCGTCGCAGCTACTCAGGGCATGGCTCCTTTTCAACCTATAGCCTGAGTTTCGGTGGAACGTTTGTGTGCTGTTGTCTTTTCCGCACGCTTGTGGGAGAGGCCATTGCAATGAGACCCCCTTCTCTACTGGTACCGCATTTCCGGGGTGGTGCGGAAGTACGGCCCGTGGTCCGACCGCAGGTGCTAGTTGTTACCGCCGCTCCTTTGCCTTCCTCTCTGCGCAGAGGTTTCTTCCGCCTAGCATATGAATGAAGGTCCATCCACCACAGACTCAATCACGCACGAGCTGAATCGCACACTGAACTGAAACAACATACGGACACACCACTCCAGCATCTCTCTTTGATGACGTCATAGCCCTCTGACAACGCAAAAAAAAACGTGGAAAAAAGCATCGTCACACGGCTCCCTCTAGGTACCACCAGGACACAAGCTTCGTATATTGAAGGGAGGAAGGGAAGCGCCCAGCCCGCGTCAAAGGCCGTTCGTGGGATTTAGCCTGCTCGTGTCGAGATGGGAAGCCGAACGCAACAACCCACGAGACTTCTCTCGATTTCGAGGTCACGGCGCATTACCGGCTCCCCGCCCCGATCCTCTTGGAAGGTTGTTCCAGACAAGAGTATTCTTGGACAGAGTATTTGATCTTGGTGACGAACCTACGTCACAATGAACGCTTCCCCTCTCCCCCCCCCGACTTACGATTTGGATGCCGATGCCACAGACGACGATAGGGTCAGGGGCAACGGCTTCGCCCGGGATGAACCTGCGCGTGTGTCACAGGTTTACTCAGGGAAGGTGCAACCTGTCCACGTGCCCCCATGCCCATCCAGGTGGGACAGGAGCGAGAGAGAGAGAAAAGAGGAGAGGGGGGTATGTCGTAAGTTGTTGATGATGATGCTGTTGTTGTTGCTGCTGCTGCTGCTGTTGATGATGTTGTTGTTGTTGTTGTTGTTGATTTGTCTCTTCGGATCGACAGGTAGTCCTGACCTCGCACCAGCAACACATTCTGTACCAACCAACCTAAAGAGTGGGGGGAGTTTCGTCGAGCTTCGAGAGACAGAAGACAACCATCTGCCTGCTTTGTTGCTGTCCGAATTTCCTTCAGAGTATCGGCCAGCCAACGCTCGTTCCTGGTACACAACGCATGTTCACGTGATACTTCTTGATTTTGTCATTTCTTGCCCGGCCTTCCCAGGCATTAGAGACGACGCCAAGCTGCAGAGGCTGGAGACGAAGGGCTCAAGAGGACTTTTCCAAGTTTCCGTGAGTGTTTGTTCTTTTTCGTCGTCTCATGGAGGGTCACCCTCTTGCGGCTTCTGCCTCCCCGTAGAGGGAACCGCGTGTGTCTACTTGCATTTTTGGGAGTGACGCAGAAGAATCGATTGAATGTTTTTTCTGCCCTGCCTTCCTTTTTCCTTACGCGAACGGAGCGTCCAGACGGCAGTGGGATATGTATCTATGCCGGAGGCTGGCAACAGAGAAGTAGTGGGTAGTATTCGGCGGCAAAAATCGAACCGGAAATCGTGCCAGGCGCTTTTTAGCAACGCAAAGACCACCATCTCTACTCGATAAGCGATAATCCCCGCTGTATAAGCCCCGCCGTAGGTGCTACTAGCTGACGTTGTTTTCGAATTGTTGCCATCATCATATCCAAGCCTGGCTCCGAAAAAACACGACCTTGCTCTGCCCCCCCCCCCCCCCCCCCC